GAAAAAAAAAAAAAAAAAACTCACACCACTCTTTGGACTTTGATCAATATTATGATAAAAGTTTATTTCTGCCTCTCAAAGTTGCGAAGAATTAAACTCTCTCCAACGGCGTCTTGCTCAAGTAAATACTCACCAAAGTCGCTTGGCGCCCACCACGGTGCGTACAGCCAACCGTCAACTGAGTCACTTAACCTCAACTCGGTCTTCGACTCGTCCGAGTCAAAGCTTCCCTCCAAACTAGGAAGTTCTATAATTTCACCCAACTCGACGTCTGATGCTGATGTTATTGTCTCCAATGTAAGGTCAGAAGATGAAGAAGAATTTGAAGAAGAGATAGAACTAATAATTGGCTCCTCCATTGAAGCTGCTTTAGCTGCAGCAGCTTGAACATCTCTTGGTGATAGTGAAATTGGACGAGGCAATGAGTTAACTAGATGAGGGAAATTTAGAATAGATGAGTTTTTTTTAATACTCAATGCGGCTACATCGTGTGCTCTAGCCGCCATTTCTGGTGTAGAGTAAGTGCCGAGCCAAATACGTGATTTCTTACACGGTTCACGTATTTCAGATACCCATTTGCCCCAACTTCTCATACGAACTCCTCTATAAACTGGGTGTCTATTTCCAGTATTAGAACTCTGTTTTATTTTTCGCTTCGTCATTCTACTGTGTATTTTCTGATTAATGTATGCCTTTTTGGATGAGTGTGAGTATTTATTGAATGTCAAAACAGAGGAGGAGGAGGAGAAAAAAAATCAGTGTGTGACTGTGTGTATTTTGACAGTTCACTTTTCTGTAGAAGAGAAAAATGAGGACAAAAGTTGAAGTTGCCGTTTGACGGGAGAGAGAGACAGGGAAGGAGGAGTGTGTTTTCAAATAGAGTGAAGAAGGATAGAGAAATAGACTGGTTATAATAATTATAAACAAGCTTTATATTTATATATGTAGTGTATAGAATTATCATTAGTCAGTTTACAACGACGTCGAAAAAAAAATGTTTAAAACGACAATAATTTAGATAAACAACAAAAGATTAGATGTATATAAAATGATTAATATTTTCTGCTGTTAACTTTAAACGTTAAAATTAAAAAATAACACCTTATAACTTCCATTGGTGACGATTAGCCGACCAGCCTACCAATGTACCATTTTAAAATGATTTAACTTATTGTATATAATTTTTTTGATTTCCCATTTGGTATTCGGTACTCGCATTGCAACCTGACTATATTCGAATTCGCGCTGTGTAAGGCCCTATTAAAGGGAAAACGCTCCTTACCAAGGATTTTTTCATACCCATGGCTTGAACTCGAGACCTCTGATTAAGGAAACAGCGGTTCCATCCACTGCACCACATCCTTTGATGGTAACTTATGTATATAGTTACCATCCCCCCTTCCGCCGATGTAATTTAAAATAACTTATGTATATAGTATGTAATTAACATGTTTTATACTTGGCCTTTATGTTTTTAGTTATTAATTTCACTTCTTATGAATAATTATATTTTATAATATGCTATTTTGTTATATTTTACTTATATAATATAGTTTGTCTGAACACAAAATTTAAGAAGAGGAAAAAACTTTTGTTGCATGCTAGAAGTACCTTCACAACTTGTAATTTTAAAGTATTATGACAATTCAATGATAAGAAAACTATGAGATTAAGAATTAAGTAAAAAATATAAAATATAAAAAAAAAAATTAAAACCAAAGCACCATTACAAAAATACAATGTATTAGAGCGACTCCTAGTGTAACGGGACCAACAAGAAGGATGAGTCATCTATCATGGCGAAAGGGGTCCCAAAAAGCTCAATAAAACTCCATTCTTTAATGTAGCTTTTTGTAGCTTGAAATCAAAACCATCCACGTATTTTCATTGAATTCATAGGTCTATATATATGTGTGGAAAATTTTATTTTGTGTCTTATATAATTGACAATAGTTGTAAGAGATAATTTTTTTGTCTTACAATTTTGTGGATCCAGATTTCTGTGAACCCAGAAGTGTAAGATTGGGGTCCACAAATTTGTGAGACAAAAAAGAGCCTTATACAACTAATGTAAGTTGCATGAGACATGAAATAAAACTTCTCTATATGTATAGATAGAACCATTATACTTTTGTCTCTTACACGTGTTCAAATTTCAGAATGTGCCCCATCTCCTTACTATGCTGAAAAGCTACCTCCTAGTTCTAAACACAATTTATTTCCTCTATCGACATTCCTTCACTAAAATTTCCAAATAATTTTCCAAAATAAATAGTATGTAAAAATAGTGACGAATGAATGCGAGGCATCGAGGAAATCTTTATATTTTAAATTTTATTTCCTTGATGATTAAAGAAATAAATAGGATGTCACATTAGCGACTAGGGGTGTCAATGCAAGGTCGTATTTACATGGTGGCAAGCGGTGTCACAAGATACTGCTTCGTCGAAATTTTTTACTATTTATATATATAAAAATAATAAGTAAAACGAAAATACAAGATAAAACTATTAAAAGTGATACCACTTGCAACAAAACATCTTAGCAGTCTAGTGGTTGTTGGCTTCAAGTATTATGTGAGAGGTCTTGGGTTTGAACTCCCTTGGCTTTGCAAAATATTTTTTGACTGTTACGATCCTTTTACTAGAAATAGTGATACCACTTATGAAAAATCTTACGTACGCGACTGTATTAATGGTTCGGTTCGGCAGATTATTTTATAAATTTTGTACCATACCAATTTTTCGGTTATTCTATTATGTATAACCAAAATTAGATTTTTCGAAACCGTCCCAATTATATCGGTTCCTCTTTGGTATCAGTACGGTTCGGTTAAGTTTCGATATTTTTTTAAATATCATATAAAAGTCACTAGTAGAAGTAGACTGCAATAACATACATACTTTTATAGGACTTAACAAAACTCTCTAGATATTTTTACATTTTAAAGGATGATGAATTAAGAAAATATAAAAGATGGCTAGAGTATAGATCCATCAATTACTCTACAATAACGTAAAATAAACTAAACAAATTAATATAAAGAAAATATAAATCACACGAGTAGAAAGATATTAACCAAGAGGAATTGAGACTCAAGAATAAAGTCTATAGAAGATTAAATATTCAAAAAGATAAATCTAAATCATATGAAAGGAAACATAATCAATACATTGTAGTTTGCTACTCATAACCGCCAAACTACCTTGTTCTTGCTAGTGAATATGCTGGAAATAATTTAGTTTCAATGGGAGTAGCATAATAGGTTTGAGAATTATGTTTTGCGATTATTACTTGTTGGCTTGTAATTGTTTTCATAATTCTAAGACCCAAGGAAAATTTAATATTAATTTATTATTTTTGAACTTAATGTATAAATATATTTTTCACATGTAAATTTATTCGGTACGGCTCGGTATTTTTTCGATTTATCATAAAATAAAAAACCTACCCTATTATCGGTACGGTTATAGATTTATATAAAAACCTATAATTTTATTAAAAGAAACTTAAAAATCGGTTCGGTACGGTACGGTTCGGTTAGTTTAATCGATTTTTAAATATCCATTGACACATCTATTAGTGACAAATGAATGCATAACGGTGGTTTTTCGTTGACTTCTGATTAATTAAAGTAAGATTAAGTATATGAAATGAGAGTAAAATCCGAATCAAGTTGTAGTTTTCTTCAAAAACATATTTCGACCAAGTCCATCACTATCGAAAAGTAGCAACTAGTAGAAAATCGATGTTATTCTGCAATCTCTCTTTTTTCCTGTTCTACTTATGGCATATTCTATTTTGCTTATAGTCTCATACAACTGACACTAGTTGTATGAAGTAATTTTTTTATTTTATAATTTTGTGGGCCTAGATTTTTGTGGACTCAGAAGTATAAGATTGGGGTCCACAAATTTGTGAGACAAAAAGGAGTCTCATACAACTAGTGTCAGTTATACGAGATACAAAATAAAACTTCTCGTGACAGCACAATATTTGTTTATTTTTAGTAGCTACTTCGATAAAAGAGACACTTGTCTTGAACAAGCATCTTTCTCCATTCTGACAATCAAAATTTGGAGTAATTTGAGAAGGAACAATCGGACCTACTCTGCTCCTGAAGTCACTGTCATTTTCTGAAGAACGTGATCCACATTTTATTACTAACAATTAGCGAGAAAAGAAAAAACAAAAGAAAGATTAGAAAGTAAGGAAGTATTGGAGAGAAAGTGAAAGTTAGTAAAGAATTCGTTGGGTATTGGCGAGGCTAGCGATCATCGTTCGGGCTACTAGAAAAGGCCTTAGGGGCCTGGACCCAAGTAGGGGAGGAGGGGTGAAGTACACAAGTAGCCTCAAACTGGATAGTCTTGAACTTTTATCCCTAGTTGCCCTTTGTACCTAACTTTTGGTTTAATAAGTATTGCCCTTCACTTGCCTTGTAGAAAATATTTTTAATATTTGACCTTACTGTTCTGTCCACGGAGAATACGAGGGTCATAAGTTAAAAAAACAATCTAAAAAGTGTCATATTTCTACCTTTTTTTTTTTTTTAGAGAGAGTTAACTTAAATAAAGCCTTTATTTAATGTCAATTAGGAGGACCGTTGAAAAATGTGTAACAACATAAAGTGAATGTCATATTCCTTGTAACGGGCTATGTACTTAATGCTGTAGAATATTCCTCCTTAAATATTATCGGGTGACATGCATTTACTTTATCTTTATGAGTATCATTCTCCCTGGTAAAAGGGATCGTTGCCTTTGAATTTAATTATCTTCTGTCTTCGGCTCCACGTGTCACTTCCTCATGCGATCATTTAATATAAACATATTTTACCTTACACAGATAGTCCATCTGCCTTCCGGTGGCATAACTTTGTGTCACTAGAAAGTTGGTAGAAACACCCTCTTTGGCGGGAAATTCACTGACCCCCTCTAAAAAGTTTCTGACGGTTGATTAGACACACGTCTCTCCGCATTTAATGCTCAGAACACGCTTCATCCCACGATTTAGTATCACTTTTGCCGGTTATCGAGGTAATTTATGGCCACGAGTTTAGCCGCATATACCTTTACTTATACGCACCAACCTCCTTCATTTGCACTTCATAATACTCTAAATTTTCTCAAACTTTCTTTACTCAACTCGTACTTCATTTTTAATCTTTCTTTAACTTTCTTCTTTGAGGAAAAACCTTTCTTCTGATAAAAAATAGCCTCTTCTTTAAGAAATCATAGTTATTCGAAGAACAAAAGTAAAGATGATGATGCTTCTCCCTATACGGTGAGTTTACTACCAAAGATTTTGAAGAAAAGAATCCTTCTACTCACCCTCGTACGTGGGATGTTAGCGTATACCCTTCTTTTATCTGTCCTTCCAGTATTCCTGTTGTGAAAGAAGACTATCACTGTCAATATTTGGACATTATCGATTCCGACCTGGCAGAGTAAATAACTTTACCCAAGAAGGGTTTTATGTAGTTCCACACACATCCCTTCACTTTGGGAGCGTTTTCTTTAAGTGGAGAGCTTAACTCCATCATCGTGTAGTTCTGCCTCAGCTACCAGATGTGCTTGGCACAATTAAGTTCTTCCGTGTGGAGGACAATCGCTTGTCTTCAGTGCCTGTGCCAAGAGATGGGAGAAAAGTTATCCCTAGCTCGAGTGATGAACCTCTATTCCCCCAAGATCTTCCACGGGAGAATAATAAATTTCAGTAATCATGGCAATCATGTTCTTCTATCCAGCATGGATGATGACAACGACCGTGGGCGGATGGAATGGTTTGTTTCAATCGCCACTAGTGACATCATCCCAGCCACAGATCCAGCCTTTTCAGAGTTATGGAACTGTACTCGTAAGTCCACCATTAATTCTTTTCTTCCGTTAA